CTTTCCTTGGTTTCATATGGCAGAGTCTGAAGAATACTGACGGGTCAATGTGTCATTCATCAGTGGTGCCTGCAGAGATGGTGAAAGTTTATGTTACAATATTAAGAAAAACAGCACAACACTTAACAAATTGAATCACACATCCCCACCCCGCTTCTGAACATTATAACTGCAATTTGAAAAACATCTTCCATTGTGGAAAAAAATTAAAACAGCAGGTGATAATTAGGGCAAAGTTACAACAATGTTATTGCTAATAGGCTACCTGTCAGTTAGTGCAAGCTATCACTTCTCCCCAGGAATAGTCGTTATTAAAAACAACTTATGAGGGTTAAAGAAGGAATGTTGAGTGTGTTAGCCTCCTTATTTGCTCATTTGGAAATGGCATAGAGATAGGTTCATTAACCACCTCAATCTACCTTGGTCTCAGGGCAGACACACACAAAATAACTGAAAGTTATAAATGACCAAAACATAAACCTTAGCTGCCTTGAGTTAAAAATCAATTTCCTTAATAAATTAAATTCAAATATTATATACCAGTAAGTAATATCAAGAAGGATGTATTAATAATTGCCATGTTGGCAGAGTACAAAGTGAAAGACTTATAGGGACATAAAAATTTAGTAACTTAGAAAATTTAATACCCAAAATATCTATGGGTAGTGAAAGCCTCCGAGTTCAGTTCAGTTGTTGTGCTGTAATAGTGTTCTCTGACTAGTCAGGGTTGAATGTTCAAGATGTTTGGTAGTTTGAGTATTAATCATCAATTCAAATAAAAGAATGCACAACTGGAGAGGCCCTCCTGGGTTAAGTAGTTTATTCCTGAACACAGATGTAAGTTTTTTCCTTTGAGTATTGCAGAACCACTCAAATGTTTTCCCTACTGAAAAAGAAGCCTCTTTTGGAGTTATTTCCTTAGCTTTACTCTTTATCAACTACAATCTTTTGGCAAAGAAGTCACCTAAGCTTTTGCTGATGTACATTAGAACTCTTGAATTCAAACTGCCCATTTCATTCTGCCCAATAAGAAATCTGGAGATATGCTATACTTTATTTTGGTTTACTATACAGTATTCCATTGTATGTTCATGCTGTGTAAAATTGTGTAAATAAGCCATAGCTTGCTTATCCATTTTACTCTTGATTAGCACTTGGATAATGTTATGAATACATGAAAAAATAAAGTATTATATAGGTACTCATATGTACACAATTTGTTGAAGTATGATATACATACAGAGAAGTGCACATATTATAATAGTATACAGCTTGTTGAATTTTCACAAACTTACCATGCATGGGCAATCAGCACCAAACCCCGAGAAAAAGAAATGACCAATTCTCCAGAAGCCCAACTATGGCCCCTCCCAGTTATTAGCTTCCATCAGGGTAATCAGTATTGTGCTTTCTGAAAGCATAAATGAGTTTTGCCTGCTTGTGTCTCGCTTCTTTTGCTTAGCATTATATTTGTGAGATTTGTATGTGTTACTGCATTGAGAAGTAGATCACTCTTATTGTTGTATAGTATTCTGTTATATAAATATATCTCCAATTATCCATTTTACTGTAAATAAACATTCAGGTAGCTTCCAGTTTGGGGGTTATTATAAATAATGTTGCTCTGAGCTGTTTAACAGATACCTTTTGGCACACATTTGACATTGGTATATTCCTAGGAAATGAATTGTTAGGCCATAGGGTCTTCATATGCTTCAATTTAGTGGATATTGCCAGTTTTCCAAAGTAGTTGTACTATATACATAGCATTCGATCACTTGAGGAATCATTCTTAGTAAAGAATTTCAGCATAACCACTAGGAGAACAAATTTTAGAGTCATTCAGGCCAAATTCAGCTTACCACTAAACAGCTAGCTATACCACCTATGCATAACTGTGTCAAGCCTCAGTTTACTCCACTATAAAATAGGTATAATAAAATTATATATTATTTTATTTTTTAAATATTTTATTTATTTATTTTTAAAGAGAGAGGAAGGGAAGGAGGAGAGGGAGAGAAATATCAATGTGTGGTTGCCTCTCATGCACAGCACCCCATACTGTGGACCTGGCCCACAACCCAGGTATGTGCCCTGACTGTAAATCAAACTGGTGACCCTTCGTTTGCAGTCTAGTGCTCAATACACTGAGCCACACGAGCCAGGGCTAGATAATACTCTAATGCAACATAGAACAGTGCCTGGCACACAGTCAGTGCTTAGCTATGGTGGTTATTAATCACTACCTTCTACAACCTAGACAACATGAAAGATTAGAAACAAATATGCACAAATCATTCACAATTTTCATTCCCTGATGGAAGGAAATTGAAACTCTGACCCAAAAGGCATTACCAATTCCAGTGAGCATTATACTTGGACCCTGAAAAAATACATTTAAACATGATCCCAAAATGCATTTGCAAATTACTCTTGCCAGAGGCAAAGTTCTTGTATGCGGTACATTACCATCCATTTTTTTACCCCTACCAGAAATTACTCTTTAAAGACAAGACTGCCAAGGGCTACTCTGAAAAGTCACTAATATTATTATATTTTTTATTATATTTGCCAATTTCACACCTTCCTCAAACCAACCCCTAAAATTTGTTGAGAAGTGACTGTAATTGAAAAATTAGTTTTTAGTTTTTCTTGAAACTTATCAGTGTCTACAGCATCTTCCACAATCCTAAAAACCCTAAAAATGAGCCCAAATCCTAGCTTCAAACTGCAAAGAACTTGCCTTTTTTTATAGACATAAACTTGATAACTTCAGCATGGATTTCAGCAGCTGATGGGACAGCATCCTAGAAGTTAACACAGATGTATACTTAGTGAAGAGATACTGTTTTAGCCAATTGCTTGTGGTGGGTCAGGGTGAAATTATCTTAGGAAGGTACTTTTTGGAAGGTGCACTGTGTTCCTGATAAATTGAATCAGATGCCATATATCAGTCACCATTTCTCAATAAATAAAGCACACAGTCTACTAGAAAATATCTCATTTTTTTGAGGCCAGTAGTAGATCACTTTTTGAACATTTAATTGAAACTCTTATTTATAAATGAGAAAACTAGTCATTTAAAGTCTTATCTAAGGTCAATGGTTTGTTCCCTGGACAGGCGGAAAGCTCAGCTCTTATTCACAGTTCAGTGGTTGTTCCTCTTTGCCCTTGTACCATGGCTCCCACCACCCTCCCTTCCCTCCCCTACCACGTTTTCATAAAGACCCAGATCTGGGATTCAGAATGGGGATGCTGAAGAGTGTGACTTTAGGGAATGAACAACCAAATGCAAGGTGAGTGAGGATTGCCTGCTAGACTATAAGAGACTATAAGATCCAAGAAGAAGGACCTTTTTCATTTTGTTTATTATTGTCTTCCCAGTACCTTGAACTGTGATTGGTACATAGTAGGCCCTAAGTGTTAAATGAAAAGATGAATGAATGAATGACCGTTGGGTATTCCAGGTCCTTACTGTTTTCTCTCTCTTCTTCCAGTAATACAAACGATTAAAAGTACACATTTATATTCTAAAGAGAAGTCATATACAAGGGTCTGGTATGTGCCCAGCCCATTGCGAGCAATTAACAAATGTCAGATCGTTCTTTTCTTCCTCCCTAAGTGTAGATTACTTGGGCCTCGGGTAGGTCGAGAGACAAGTGCCCCGAGGAGGGTGCAGGGGGTGGGGCGCAGAGCTTGGGGTATGAGGTGATGTGTCTAGTTACTTAAGTCCTTGGATAGAAAGTGAGGCTGGTATCTAACCGGCTGGTGAGAAAGGGCTGTTGGCGTCTTTCTTAGTAAACAAATTCCAGTGCCCCGAAAAAGACACAAATATTTTACCCAGAAAGGCTACTCGCTTTTCTTGTTCGATTCTGGGCAGTAGTAAACTTTTAAGTACAACTTTTTTTGGTAAGCATCAGCAATGTTACGACTAGAGGAGGGGCGGTGATAGGAAAAGCCTGAAAGACTCTCTCCTCACCCAAATTATAGGCATCCCGCAGCGGTGGGAACTGCCTTTTGCAGGTCACAGCTTCTCCAGCCCCGCCCCCTGCCCGAGTACGCTGCGGAGGTTCAAGTTCGACCCCGAGTTTCTCGCCGCCTGCTCCCAAGCGGTCCGCGCGTCCATCGGACTCCCGAATGAAAGCGAGGAGGGTCCAGAGGTCATTAGGGTGCGGAGCCACTCGATCACACGTTGTGTTACCGCGTGGGAAAAAGTTTCCAACTCTGTCCGAAGGGTCTCCCAGTGCCCCCCAGTGGAATAGAGGCCTGCGCTTTGGCATCTGTTCCCTTGCGGGTCGCTTCCAATCGCGACCCCTTCTCAGGGAAGCCCCCTTGTGTCCCTCCTTCCTCCCGCTGCGCAGGTCACCCAGGAAGAGTACTTTGGAGGCCCTCCCGGGACGGCAGCTGGATCGCCTCCGGAGGGCCTTGGGTAGGGAGGGGGTCGAGAGACAAGTGTCCCGAGGAGGGTGCAGGGGGTGGGGCGCGGACCTCGGAGTAGAGAAGGGACAGTAGTGCCCACTTATCCCCAATGCGATGGCAAGATCGTTTCACAGCTTCCACACCCTCGCGGACCAACTCTGCGGGACCACAGCCGTCCCCGCACCGATAGTCCCCTGTACAACCCCCACCACACCCTCGATGCCCACTCCCAACACCCCCCCTCCCAACAATGCGCAGGCCCGGCCGCCCCAGCGCGCATGCCCTGGGCTCGCGAACGCGGCCAGCCCCCAGCCTTTTGCTTTCTACACACTCTACAACTGGGGAGGGGGCGGGGGAGGAGGGAGCCGGGTCCGCCACGTGACCAGCCAGTCGGGACCGCGGGGGCGGGAGCGCGCGCTGAGCTAGGCGCGGGGAGGGCGGGTGCGCGTGCGCGGGCTTGTGCTGAGGCGGGCGGCGGCGGTGGGCCGGCCGCGGAGGGGGAGGAGCGGGATCTGAGTGAGGCGGACAGGCGGAGGATGGGGCCGTGCCCGGGCTCCCGCTGCAGCCGCCCGGAGACACGCCGTGCACCCCCCGGCTCGGGGTTCTCGCGGCAGCGGAGGCAGCGTTAGAGGCGGCGACGGTGAGACCGGCGTTCCCAACGCTTCCCGGCCGCGCTTCTTCCTCGGACTGGGCGAAGCGGAGAGGCAGCGGCGGCGGCAGGAGGCGGTGGCGGCGGCACACCAGTGTCTCTCCAGCTGGAGATTTCTTTCTGCTTTTCTCGTCGACGGACTCACACCCTCTTTTTTGAGGAAGGGTGACCTCTTCTCTGGGACTGGAAAAAAATATTCGTTTGAGGAGGAGGGTGGGTGGCAGCATCAGGATCTGCTTCTTCTCTTTTTTAAGCCCCCCTCTTCCCCCCTCCAAGACCAAAAAGCAAACCCCACAACTGCTCCAGCATCCTCCTTCCCTTCCTCCACCTCCCTTCTCCACCTCTCCCAGTTTCGCCCTCTCCTCTCCTAATTATTTCATTATTATGCTTCCCTCTCTGGGGGGTCTCATCCCTCTCAGGTCGCTCGGAAGCCTCCCCTGGATGCATTTCTTAAAAATTTGGGAGCCTGGGAGTGAGTTTCCTCCGAGGCGTGTGTGAGAGGCAGCGGGGGTGTTTTCCTGTGTGAGGGGCGGGTGAAGTTCATTGCCCCCACTTTCCTGCGACCTTTTCGACCCGATTTTGACTCGGGGGGCAGGCGTTTTCGGGGGACAGGGGCGCGGCAGAGAATGGCCGCGGGGAGGGCTCCCCGGAGCCTCCCAGTCTCTTGATCAAAGCATTCCGCTATTCTGATTTATTGCCTGCTTGGTGAGTTATTTTTTTTTTTTCTTCTTTCCTCTAAAGGAGACCTGTGTGTTCAGCCATTACTTTGCTCGGCGCCGCTCACAGGAATCTCCGACCCTCAGTGCCGTGGGCAGCCCAACACTTGGGCTTCTCGCCTCTCGCCCTCGCTCCCGTCCCTCCTCCCTCTCTCCGCCCCTTCCCCCTTTTCTTTCTCCTCTCTTTCTTCCCCTCTCTCCCTTCTTTCGGCCGCCGTCTCCCCCGCGCCCTCCTCGGGGCGGAGGGAAGCCGAGAACGGGGGAGGGAGGGGTTGGTGTCAATTTTTTTGTGTGGCCGCGGCTGGAACCGGTGGCGGGCAGGAGGCGAGCGGGGAGACCCCGGCGCGGCAGAGCCATGGACGGCCCGACGCGGGGCCATGGACTCCGCAAAAAGCGGCGGTCGCGGTCGCAGCGAGACCGGGAGAGGCGCTCCCGGGGCGGGCTGGGGGCTAGCGCGGCCGGCGGCGGCAGCGCCGGCCGGACCCGGGCGCCCTCGCTCGCCTCGTCGTCGGGCTCCGACAAGGAAGACAATGGGAAGCCCCCGTCCTCCGCCCCGTCCCGGCCCAGACCCCCGCGGAGGAAGCGGAGAGAGTCCACCTCGGCCGAAGAGGACATCATTGATGGATTTGCCATGACCAGCTTTGTCACTTTTGAAGCGCTGGAGGTAAGGGGGACCCCCTCCCCCTGGTTTTCTTTATGCTCGACCCTACTCGGTTGCACCCAGCTCTGCTGCTTCCCTCACTGCGCTCTGGCCGGTCTGTCTGTCTGTCTTATGAGGTCTTATTGTTGGGGGGTGGGGGGAGCTGGGGGCGCGGGCAAGACGGCCAGCAGGAGGGAATCTCAAAGCCATGCCTGGTCTCCTGGTCCTCGTTCTCGCTCGCCTTTCCCCTGCTCCCCCTCCCTGCGCCCCCTCCACAGCAGATGGGCATATAGAAAGGGGTTCAGGCATTACAACAATGCGCCCCCCTCCACGGATAGCTCTGTCCCTACTCTTCCTCCTCTCCCTCCCAATCATGGCTTCTTGGCTGGTGGAAGTCTCTTTGCTGGGTTTGGGGCGCCCGTGGACGGTTTTTCTACGGAGCCATATGACCGTGTGTGTGTGTGTTTCTGTATAGTATATACCTTTCCTGGTGTCCTCGGGACTGGAGACTAATGGGGTTTTGTGGTTTTCTGACCCCCTCCCTGCCTTTTTTTTTTTTTTTTCCTGGTGAAGCTGGGAAGGGGGCGTTTTCTCCTGGTTGGGAGAAAGGAGGGAGGAGGGGAGAGCAGAGAGGAAAGGATGGAATATCTTTCTGTATTCCGTAAGGGGCTGTATTACAGAAAGGGTTAATTACAATATCTGTGTGTGTGTGTATATATATATATGTGTGTGTGTGTGTGTGTGTGTGTGTGTGTATATGCACATGTGTGTGTGTACATGAGCAATTTGGTTAAAGGATAGAGAAAAGGTGCACCAGGGAGGACTGGTGGGAGGAAAGAATAAAATCCTGGCTGGTATCTGAAGGGCTTGTCACCCAATTGTACCTCTCCCTTTCCTTTTTTTGTGTTTTCTTTTTTTTTCTTTCTGATTGTGTATGTATATATGTCTTTATTCCTTGGGCACCTGCAGTGTTGATTTACAAATGCACGTTTTCCTGCCCTCTAACCAGCTCCTGGGGAAGGGGGGTGGGTTAGGGGAGTTAGAGGGAGAGGGTCGAGGGGATGGGGGGGAAAGTGTCTTTACCTGGAAGGATCACATTTGGTGTTGGCATGGGTCATTGGTCTTTATAAATGTAACCCCTCTTTTCCTCCCCCACCTTCCTTTCCCCACTCCCAACACAACACACACACACACACACACACACACACACAGAGAGAGAGAGAGAGAGAGAGAGAGAGAGAGAGAGAGAGAGAATGAGAATTTGAGATTCTGCATAGTTGTTCCGGCTTTTCTTAAGCACAAAACCAGGATAGTTGGTTTCTAGCCTTTCATGCACCTGATATGGTGGTTAGGGGTTCCTGAAGGAAACTTTTCCCTCTCCCTATGATTTTTTGCTTTTATGGTATTGTTTGAGATGATCAAATACAAGCTTTGTTAGTGACAGCTTAAATCTCACATGCAGTAATGGTAAAGGTTTAGATTCTTGGTTTTGTGTGTGTGTTTGGGTGTTAGGTTTAAATATATATATATTTTAATGGGAGCCAGTTTCCCATTTGAACTGCTTTTTGGTTGGGCTGCTGGTGGTGATGCTGGTAGTGGATGGTTGCTAGTGGTTGGGGAGGAAGGGAAGGTGGTTGGTGGTATTGGTGACTATAGATTTTGATGTTAGTGATTGAATCAGTTACCCTTTGGTTCTGGAATTGGTACTTTATTGGTTAAAGTGAATCTTACACGGTTGTTTTGAGTTGAGGCTCACCACTTATTAGGATAATTCTGTGGATTCAACTTTGCCAAGGTAGGAAGGAGGGTACTGTACTATGTAACCTCTTTCTCTCTGTGTCTCTCTTGATTTAAAATAGGAATTGAAATAGCAGCATGCATGCTAATAGAAAATGCTGCCTGGAGTTTGGTTCACCATTGCTATCTGTGGTACATTAGGATGATGCTTGCAAAATCTGGTTACAAGTGGTTCTGCTTTTTGTGTGGTTACCCTGGGCTTCCCTGTGGCCCCTCTCTCAGTAAGCAGGAGAGGCCTGCAGATTTCCATGAATATTTCTGAAGGCCAAGTGGAGATAGATACAACTTATGCAGTTTTTTTTAATCGTTAACTTTCCATAAATAAATATTTGCCTGGGCTTGTGATGTGTATATCTATCTGTTTGGCATTTGAGAGAACATACGCTCTTCTAGTTTCTTTTAGGCTTAAAAACCTTAATTTTTAAAGAAAACCAAGATGAAGTGTACTGTTAACACCATTTCTTTTCTTGCTGTGATTATTTTTTTCCAACTTTTCTAGATGCAAAACCAAGGTTGTTTTGTTTAGCTGAATACTATACAACCTTTATATCTAAATATCATTTACATATCTGTGTGTGGGTCTAAAAAGTGTAACTTTTAAAAAAGTTTTCTTAAAACTTCATAGACAAATTTAAACATGTACAAAAGTAGAGAGAACAGTTTGATAACACCTCAGTGGACCTAACACCAAGGTCAGCAACTACTACTAACTAGATCATATCTCATCTTGTTTCATGTATGTCCCATTTATTTATTCCTCCCCCAGATGTGATATGAGAAATATTTCTGTATGTGTCTCTAAATGGTAATGACTTAAAAAACCCAAAGCCCCGTTGTAGCATTATCACACCCAAATAGACTACAGTTCCTTAATATTATCAAATATCCTGTCAGTGTTCATCTTTAAAAGACCCAGCTTTTGTAGGAAAGCTGTAAATAAACTTTACAGACTGAAAACACAGTGGGGAATAAAAACCATTATGTATGTCTGATTCTGTGAACAAAGGTAGATCTGTTTGCTGCACATTTGTGTCTGTGCTGGATGGTCAAACATATGTGTGTAGTGGTCACAAAGATAAAACCTATGTATTACTCATTTTGGGAGATTTACTCAAATGTCACCATACAATGTGAGGGAAACAGGCAACTGAACTGTGAACTTGGATGGAAATGTATGTGACAGGAATGCTTTGAAATGCTAAAAATTATTGTAGATTCTAAGAGTACCCTAAATACATACTATTTTTTGTGCCTTATGTTTAGAAATGAAAACAGTCATCACCACATAACGTTGAGGCTGCTGTGCTACTATGATGATGTGATAAGAAACCAGACATGTTGGCTTGTAAGCTAGGCTTGTTCCTTATGCCAGTTTAGAGCAGTAGCAGGCAAACTGTGGAGTAGCATACTTCAGATGTTAATGGACACATCAATTTTGACTTTTAAAAAAGGCTGCTAACTAGTAATGAAAATTGCTGATATAAAGTGTTCCGGCCCAACTATGATTTAGTAAATGCTGGAGCAAAAGAAAGAACCTTGTCTAATGAAAACCAGCCTTTTTATGTTGATTATTTTTTCACCGTTGGATATTTATTTAAGATGACAAAAGCTTTGGCAATAGTTTAAGAAGCCCACACTTTATAGGCAGTGAAACTGGCTGAGGTAGTTTCATATTCTGCAGGGACACTTGTCTTGAGTAATTGTGCCCTGCAGTTCAAGTATGTGACTGTGAAGAGTCTCATGATAGAAGATAATAGGGTAGGTGAGGAGGCTAAAGTTGAACATGGTGTTATTTTCATTAGGCATTTGAAAAAGAGTTACCCTTTGGATATGATATTGTTTATGTGGATATTCTTTGAATAATAGGAGAGTGAATATCCCCAGATGTCATGTCTCATTTTAAAAAAAGTGGCTTCTAGCAAACTGTGAATGGAAGTGTTGGGGTACTAGTACTGTCAGTGTACCCTGATATGCCAGATAATATTGCCTTTCTGTTACTTGGGTTTCTTTCTTTGTAGTCTTGATTAGTAAGCCATGTGAGTACTGCAGCTGAAAATTTGACTTTGCACATCCATTATTTCTCCCCGCACTTCTCTATTGTGCACTGTTCTTAGTGCAGCCCCCTTTCGTACCTCTGACCAAGGGAAGCAAAGATGAAATTGGTGAGATTAGCAGACAGGAGGGCAATTGGAGTTTTGCAGACTTGTGAAAATTAAGGAAGACTCATTCCTGGTGGGTACAGGATCAAGTTTGGTTTCAGGGCTTACTCCGAAACACTATACATTGCTAGCGTAAATAGGCTGTTCAGAATTTGTCCTTATGGTATGCCATGTTAATAGGCTCTAGTAATTTATTATGGTAAAATCTCCCTTATTCAGTCGTTTAAAAAAACATTAATCATGTTCCTTGTATCAGTCAGCAAATATTTATGGAGTGCTTGATATGTGCAAGGCACCAGAAAGAGTACAGAGAAACCTAAATATATATGTAGCATCTTGAAGGAGTGTGCAGTTCACTTGATAAATTAAGTCCTGCACCTACAAAATAATTTTGAAATAGGTGCTGGAATGCTTAATACCAAGTAAGTGTACTGGGCTTTAATAGAATGGGGTAATGAGTGCCATTGCTTGAAGTATTTGAGAAGGCTTCTTGGAGAAGATGGGGCCTAAAAGGTTGAAGTGATATGAATAGATAAAGAATGCAGAGTGGAAAGAGCATTCTAAGAAGAGGGAATAGTGAAGGAGGCACAGAAAAAAGTGAGAAGACGCTATTTGATTAAGGCTTGGAGCAGGGAAGGGCTGATAGAAATGAGTACAAAATTAGGGAGCTAAAGAGTGCTTGTTGGGGGAGTCAGGAGACCAGAAACATGGTCCAGGCTTCGCTGTCCTGACTATTTTAGTGACCTTGGGAAGTACTCTAAAAGTGTCATTTTCTTAATCCATTAGTTGAGAGGTTTAGATTAGTTTCAGAGCAAAGGTGCTCAGCTAGGTGGGAACATAGCTCTGCCAGATGTTCATGGGTTGTGTGTTCCAGACTGAAAAAAAAAATGTCATCTGTCGTCAAATAGTTTCGGAACTGGATGGGCTAGGCAAAATTAAAGGGTGACTTGTTTTGCCAGAATTAAGTCTTTTATTATATGAATGCGAGTTTTAAATATCAGAGAAGGCCATGTGATGTGTCTTATTTCCTAAATTTATTTGACCACAGGGCACTTTTATTCTTGGCAT